TAGGGAAGGGGCAGCTTCAGTGTCGGCAGGATGAGTTCTGACTCCCTGTCTGACTGCAGGGCTGGCCGTGTCCCCTCTCCCCACCACCAGTCTCTGCTCCTGCTTCTTCCATCATCCTGGAAGAGGGTTGTGGCAAGAAGTCACCGTGGACAATGCTAAAGGTGAGAAGCCTCAGGGATGGGGGGAGCGGGGGCAGATTCTAAAGAATACTAGTTCTTCCAAAAAGGACAGTTTGGGAATAGAGGACAGGCAGCACAGGGGTGCAGGAGCCAATGCAAACTGCATGTGGAGCCCATGCCAAACACACCTCGCAATGACTCCTTGCACCTCCCTCCTTCCACCCCTGCCTGCACCTGTCCTGCCCAGAGGCCGCGAGCACTGGGACTTCCTGGGAGCCACCTTCGGCCTTCCTGCTGCATTTCCTGGGGGTTATTTCACAGCCCCCAACCTGGTGACAGCCCTTGCTCTTACTCTGCCACAACCAAAGGAGAATATGACTGTCACTCTGTTCAGGGTGGGGAGGGAGGAAGTGATGGGGAGCTTCCCAGCCCCCCTCACCCTCACGCAGCTTCCTAAAAACCCCAGGGCCTGAGCGTGCCACTCCAGTGAAACTGACAGGCCGCATCTGAAGTTACCGGACGTGGACAGCATCTCCTCCTCACCGTGGCTGCAGATCTCCCTGCCTTTGCTGGGCTGGGCTGAGCTGCTGTTCCCTGAGCCTCCTTCTAGCCGAGCAGATCCCATGAGCCCATGGCCTACACATCAGGAAACTGGGTCTTCAAAGAAATCAAGGTCTCCTTGTGAAACTGCTCTATGAATTACACACGTAAATCACCATCGTTTGGACGGACATTTAACGAGACCCACAGCTCCAGGCTTGTGCCTCCTCACGATGCTCACCATCAGGCTCCCAATACCTCACTGTCATCATGGATGCGCCCTGGGAGGGCTCAGGAAATCCGCTTGACAAACCCGTTTCCTTCTGAAGATGTCGCCACTGCACAAAGCACTAGGGCGACACGGCGACATTGGGTGTTGCTGCAGCATAACTGCTCCCTGCAAGCTGTGGGCAGTTCCTCCTGAAGATGCCAGCTCCGCTGTTCCTACCCCCCATCCCTGGCAACACCCATTGGTATGGGGCCAGGAGCATACGCCCACCCAGTGGAAAAGGAGCATTCACAACGGAGACACAGAGGCAGCCACACGTCTCTCTTCTCCAATGACGCCACTGATTTCCTTTCCAAGGGTTTTCAGCTTCTTGAAGACAGAGTTGTGTGGAAAGGCTGGTGGGGAAGAGGGGATTGAAAACCGGCCTTAGGCCTCTGGGTCTGGTCTCTTGTGATTGCAGGGGGATAGAATCCCAGCATCTAGGCTACGATGAAGCCCAGCTCAGCCACAGGTAGCCCAGAGAACATGAATGTCACCCCTGCTGTAGGGCCTATTTGACCACTGGGTGGCCCAGCGTTCTAAAGGCCTTGGATTGGGACAGAATGTTTCATCAAGGTGCCCAGGATCCTGTAGGCTGTGGTCTCCAGGCCCCCTCGGATGGACCTGACCCAGGAGACTGGCTCTCACAACAGCCTGGGAACATCCTCCATGGTCGGGCACAGCCCTCAGCCAGAGGGGCTCGCTGGTTCCTACCCCAGAACCTCTCACATACATCTTTCAGAGATTTAATGTGATTGGCTACTACGTTATTCTACTTGACTGATTTACAGGCGACCCATAAAGCTTTACCACATCAGGACGGCCACCTTTGCTTGTTGACACGTTGGTTACTATGCAATTTCTGATCATCTCTATAAATAGTGTGCCTGATTTTGGCTAGAATCATAATCCTATTATACTGTTTCTATGGAACAATGATCGAGTTTCTACCATGGGAACTTCTAGGACCTCTATTTCAGGAACAAAACATAATATTGTGAACAGAAGAATGTAAATCTCCAGCTAATTCGATGTATCTAACGGTAAGTGACACGCCAGAGAGAAGGTATTGTGTGAGGATTACGGGCTTTTTCCTCCTGTGCATTCGCCCGACAGGGGCGTGTTTGCCAGGGCCTCTCGGGACCCAGCGAGGGGGGCCTGCTCCTCTGCCCACAGCCGGCAGTTACAGAGCAGCCTGCGTGGGAGATAAAGAGCCACCAACCATCAGAGGCTCCCTGCTCCTGCCAAATATGGCCCCTCGGCCACCCCGCTTGGCCTGTGTCCCTTTGCCCCCTTGGTGGAGTCTAAATAGAGGAGGGCAGCTATACTCCTGGCTCTGTCAGCCTCTGGGCTTGCAGGCTCTCGACAGCTGCCATCCTAGCCCCCAGCAGCCTTCCCTGTACCTCGGACACCTCCAAATCCCCATTCGGCACGGAAGCAATGAAACTGGGTGCATCCTCTTTGGATGGCTCTTGTTGAGGGATTATAGTTGACCCTGAACAACACTGGTTTGAACTGCATGCACATTTTTGTTTTCAATAAATACGTACAGTGCTATAAATGTTTTCCTTATGATTTCCTTACCATTTTCTTTTGTCTAGCCTTATTATAAGAGTACAGTATATAATACATATAACATATAAAATACCTGTTAATGGTGAGGCTTCCTGTCAACAGCAGGCTGTTAGCAGTTTCGTTTTGAGGAGTCAGAAGTTATTTGTGGATTGAAAACTCACGGGGGCTGTGCCCCTAACCCCTGCAGTTGAGCTGGCTCTCAACTGTACTTTCTGCCTGGTTGCCACGAGGATCACATGGGAGGGTTCCAGCTTCGGTCCTGGGAGCAGCCTGCATCGCTCCCACTTCTTTGGCTAGACCACAACCACAAGGCCACACCCAACTGCAAAGGATGCTGGGACATGTGACCAAGGTTCTCCCAAGAATAAGAGAAAATGAGCTTAAGGAGTAGGTAGCCAATCTCTGCCACACCTTCCCAGTGCATTTCCTCTGTCTTATCACAAGTGCCCTCATAAGAAAACTGGATTGAGCGTTCTGCTGTTTTAGCGCACAAGGGAGGTAGCAGAGAAGGTCTGAAAGGGAAGGTTGCGGTGGACACTGGAGCAGGGATAAACCTCCCAGCAGCTGCGAACTGGCAGAGTGAGAGCTCGGGTTCGGGATCCACCTCTGTCACCTGAATGGCCAATGGGCTGGGACGTGGAGACAGAGATTACAATAATGACCCTGTTGGTCCAGGGCTTTGTAATACAGCAATGCTGGTCTGTCCCAGGCCCATGCTGCAGCCTGCAAACCTCTCTGACCTCCTGCAGGCACCAGACCATGTGGCAAAGGAACCTCTGGGGCCCTGGGCTCCAGCTTGAAGCTGAGGAGGGAGGCCTCTGTGTGGCAAAACTTCTGTGAAAGTGGCGCCCTAGGGAAGACCACTTGCATTGAATCAAACACTGAAGTAAGCCACCCATTTGCCGAACCCCCTAAAGTGTTACTTTATTTTTTATAAGTTTGTAAAAAGCATATTTTATTGATTTCAGAGAGGAAGAGAGAGAGAGAGAGAGAGAGAGAGAGAGAGAGACATCAATGATGAGAATCACTGATCAGCTGCCTCCTGCATATCCCTACTGAGGATCAAGCCTGCAACCCGGGCATGTGCCCTGACCAGGAATCAAACTGTGACCTCCTGGTTCATAGGTCAATGCTCAACCACTGAGCCACACTGGCAGGGCTATTTTTACCTAATTCTTGATTAAACAAAAGGGATTCCATTGTGTCCTCACCCCTGTAAAAACCGTGACAGTATAACCCATCCAGAGAGCTGTGACTGCTGGGGCCTGCCCCGCCCTCAGCCCCACACCTCCTGCCAGGCTTCCCTGGTCCAGGCTCAGGGCCAGGCCGGCTCTCAGCGAGGAGCTCAGGGTCACTGTGCAGGGACAGCACATCGAGTCCCCTATTGGCTCAGGACACTTGCTATGTGCCAAGCACTGCAGGGCCCTGGCCCCCAGAACTCATCACTGACAGAGGTGACAACAGAGTGGCACTTACAATATGGTGAGGGAGCCCAGGGGAGGGGCATGGCCCAGTTCTTGGAGCTGGCTCTCTGCCGTGTTCTGCTGGACCCCATTCCTGGCGTTGAGGGCTTCCCAGTACCCTAGTTCCTCTCAACCCAGGTTCTTCCCTAAACCCCAGCACAGGAGCCAGGCAGGGCCCTGCTACCCCCCACATGACAGGCTTGCCCAGCACCAAGAGCAGCCTGGCCCTCAGATGACGATGGTGACAGGCTCCCTCACTCGTCAGTGGGACCACCCCCTCCACACTGGGCC